AACATGCACTATACCCTAAAAATATTCGAAGATATGCAAAGAACCTGTATACCCTCCCCCCAAAAAAGGAGGTTAAATAGGAACAACTGGATCACATTCTTAGATAAGATATAAATATCCGCGCAAACAATGAATATTTTGGTATTTTATATATAGTTCTCAGAAAGGTCATAGGCATTCAAATAGTTCTTCAGGAAAAATAACATTTTTTCAGATATAAGTCAGATAAAGGAAGAGCTAGAACAACAAATAAATATTCGCTGAATTTTAATTAGTTGCTAGTAGTGTATATTCTTTTTAATTTTATAATTATGAACAAAGATCATTTAATTTTTGTCAACGCTAACTCGAGACCATTTTGCTTTTTCGTTTGTACTTTAATACGGTTTGCATAAATCAGTGCTATTTGTTACCTCACTTTGGTATTGTTTTTCTTTTCTTTCTTTTTATGTGCCATGTCCTTTCAGGACGTAAGCCATCATTCCTTCCCTCTGCTTCCTACCCCAGATCACGTTCTGTCATCCACTTGTTCAAGCTCACCAGGTATATCACGCGCTGCTTTACCTTGTCTCTTTTTCACTCTGACCCGTGAGTATCAGATTTTCCAGGCCTTCCTTCCTCATTATGCGTCCCAGAAACTTCAGCTGCCTTTTCTTAATGTTAAGTATAAACCTTCTCCTTGTTTGCAATCTCTCTAAGACCTCGTTGTTGTTCACACATTCGATTCATGATAACCTTAGCATCCTTCTGTAGAACCACATCTTCGTCGCCTCGAGTCTCTTCTTCATCCTTGAGGAAATCGTCCAACATTCGATGCCGTAAAGATGTCACGTAACAGTTCACTATTCTTTTCTTCGTTACCAAAGAAATCCCGCTGTCTTGCAATACTCTTCCCAACATTTGGAATGTGTTCTTGGCCATCTCAATATATCTGCGGATCTCAGTGTTGCACTTACTGTCCTCTGGCAGAACGCTTCCCAGATATTTAAACTTCCGCACCTGCTTGATTTTAGTGTCGCCGACCTGGAAGTCGCATTTCGGGCTCATCCGTTTACTGATGATCATGCATTTTGTCTTGTAATTTATGCTTAGTCCCTTCTTCTCGCTCTCCTTCGCTACATTCTCTAGGAGGTTTTGTAATTTCTTTTCCGTGTTTGCTATCAGTACTGTGTCATCTGCGTATCTTATGTTGTTAAGATTGTGGGGAAAGTCAGTTTATGAGCCAGTAACAAAATTTTACCAAACAAGTTTAGCATGCCTTTAAATATTTACGATACACATGGGCGGTGGTAAAATTTTTCACGTGACGCAAAAAAAAAAAAAAAAAAAAAAAAACTTTGGGAAATCCTGGTATATAGAAACATTATGTTATAAATGGCTGTGGTTTGGTTTGAGAGAATTTTATTTCTATATTGTCCCAAAATGGAAATAATATTTTAAATATTGTTATACAGGAGGATGTGAGTAACGGCAACGTTTTAAAGAAAATGGAAAGAGACATTTAAATTTCTAGGGCATATAATCAGGAAAAAAAGGCTAGGAAAATTTGATATTCACAGGACAGATTGAAAGCAAGAGGGACAGAGGAGAATAAAACATAACCTACCTCGTAAGCTTGAGGAGATAATAATTTAATAAGCGCTACAAAGTACAAGAAGCCATGATTGCCAACGTCCTGAAGATAGTACATTAACATCTTCAAGGATATTCATCCTGTGTAAATAGAAATATTATGTTATAAATAGCAGTGATTTAGTTATATCGAATTTATGGTTATATCTGTGTTATCCTAAAATGGAAATAACGTTTTAAATGTTAATAACTGGATTTAAACGCCCAAATGTATAGTCTGCTTCATTCGTAAACTTAAGGCAGCAAACAAATATGAAAGGAATTTAGAGAACGCTCTAAGCAACCCTCTTTAGAAGAGAACATTGAAAACAACTCACTTTAGTCAAGAATAAACTGAGAACAACATTTCTCCTCGGTGTGTTTATGATAATCTCTTTAAAAGGAACAAAAGATGGAATTTTGAAATTGAAACCGCCATGCAAGCTGTTAGAACACAAATGTGTGCAGTTGATGGTGGATGCATTCAGTGTGTGTGTCTCTGTGTGTGTGGCTTTAGCTCAGTTTCCACACAAATTTAATTTGTCCATTTAACAAGTTATCAGACTAAACTTTTTATTCGACATGTATAACAAAATTATTAAACTTAATTCAAACGTTCGATCATGCAACTTTTCTGTCCCGCTATATAAACGTCGCTTATTTTATTCTTGCTTAAATAATAATACAAGGTTTATGTGGGAAGAAAATGTTGCCTTGAACATGTAAAACCCGATGTTATCAGCGTGATACTAATTATGTAGCAGTCACAGACCTTCAGTGTCGCTATCAGCAGTGGATGACATTGTCATCTGAGATCGACTCAGACATAAACTCACATAGAATGGATGTCAATTTTGTGTTTCATAATACCTTCCATATACACATGCATGTCCGTCAAGACGTAAAGGTTGTTTATATCCGTAAAATAATGGAGAATTAATTTACTATTGCCACCAATATTAATCCAGGCATAGAAAAACAAAGACAATTAATACTGTCAGTTGGCATCTGAATAGATTGGACCACAAGTTTTTGTCTTGAGGCTGTATCGTTAAATTGCTCTGAAAATAATGGCTGTTTGAAAATTCCCACATTGACTTTCAATAAATTTATCCATGCACTAAATCTTTGAAACTAGAAACAGCATTGTTTATATCTATACGACAGAAATTATTGCCGCCATAAAAATCCTTAACACGTTCGCTGTAATGGACAAGATAATTCAGCAAGTTATCAGTTTCATTCTCCTTTTATGATGGGGTGTATTTGCTTTTCAAAATGGCGGCCTCTTTTATATTTGCTGATGAATATTGGTACAACTTCTGGTTTTCTGTGTTAATCCATGTTTTCGGATATTTCATACTTGTTACATGATTTTACACGTTATTATATATATATATATATATATAGTATAAAATGTCAATTGGAAAAAAATATTAGATTTTGCCGACGTGTTTCGTCTTCTGACTTTTCAAGGCAAAAAATGAAATCGAAATGTGTTTTGTTGTTATAGTTACATTAAAAAATTGATCTGGGTATTTAACTCACTCACTCACTCTCACTCTCTCTCTCTCTCTCTCTCTCTCTATATATATATATATATATATATATATATATATATATATGAATTTATCGATCTGATCAGACTTACTATCAAAACAGGAGAAAATGGATGTGTCATCAGCGTAGATACCAAGTCGTTTATATATATATATTCATATATATATATATATATATTATAAATGAAGCTATATATATAAAATTTATATACATGGAAACTTTATACAATGCATTTTTAATAAATTATGAAATAATGGATTTGAAAGAATGGACAGCAATGCGCACATTTTTTATTTTAATGTTAAACAGTAATACAAAAAAAAAAAAAAAGAAAAAATACCAACAAATATTTAACATAGGATAAAGTTTTTGGCCCTCTTGCATCAATAATCAATTGTGTAATCTTTATTCTTAATTATTGCCTTTAATCATTTTTAATAGTTCCTTACAAGAGCACTACACACGCTGATTGGTTCTAGTTATTTCTCTTACTTTTTACTTCATACAATGGGATTTATGTCAGGTCTTTGTGCAGGGTAGGCTAATACCTTAATTTTGTTGTTATCGAAGTATTTTATAACGATTTGTGCCGTGTGTTTCGGTTCCTTGTCATGGTTGAGCGTCGAGTAACACCCCAAAGACAGCTTTCTTGCACTTCTTTTTATATTATTTTTAAGATTAGTTAAATGGAGACCTTTATACCCTGTCCTCTCACAAGTCCAGAAACAACAAAACATCCCCAGAGCAGAATGCTCCCACCATCGTACGTTTCATTCACTTTCCTCCATACACAACAGGAGTTCATGTGACCAAATAATTCTAGTTTGGTTCCATCAGACCATAAAACAGAGTTTCAATATTTACTCCCATGTTCTAGATGGCTTCTAATATAAGTTAATCTGCATTTTAGGTGTTTAGCCTTAACCAAGGAAATTGTCGATATATTCAATCCTAACGTTTTTACATAATTGGCAATGTCCTTTGTCGTTAAGTGAGGACTCTTCGAGACATCTCTAACAATTTGCCTTTCCATTCTCTCAGAAATTAACCGTTTTCTGCCAGTCCTTAATTTATTCTCAACACAATGAGCCTCGTCATACTTCTTGATAATGCTACGAATTGTTAATTTAGTAATATTTAAACACTTAAAAAGTGTTCTATATCTATCACCTTGATTGTACACATCAATTGCCGTTATTCGAATCTTCTTGTCAAGTTCAGCCGTCTTCACCATGGTTGCAGAACGAAGGAAATATCGTGGCACGTGGCACTCACATATTGTCTTCTTCATTACCTTTTAGAATGTTATAGAATTAGGCCAATACTATTTCATTTTCAAAGGGTGTTTGTATTAAATGTCAAATTAAGAAAAAAATCATTACAGTTGCCATAGAGCAATATTATTTCATAATTTCCAGAAGTAGAGCGAATAATTTTGGACTGTACCAATTTTTGGAAAATATATAGGTATGAATATATAGGTATGAATATATAGGTATGAATATAATAGATAAACACTTGTAAACATTTCACGTATTATTCAAAACAAAATACGGAATTAAATATTTATGGTAAATTCAAAAAATACTTGCAAATATTCGCATTTTCTCAGAAAATATGCAAATAATCAGTGCGGTTTAATAATTCTGTCCACAGCTGTATATATATATAGGATAGCGATATATAAATTTTTATATATCAAGAACAATTTTGTTGGGGGTGGGGAAGATGTATGACAAAGTGGGAAAAATTTTCGTGTGACGAGTTTCGTCCTTTAGGACTTCATCAGGCTATGTATGTGTCTACGTTGATGCAACTACATAAGAAAGCTTTTCCCACCTTGTCATATCTATCTATCTATCTATCTATCTTAGATATACTGGCATCAGTAACTACGTTATGCATAAATTTTGATCACGGTTGAGATTACATGTCATCAGATCAGATTAGTCTTGTTTTTTTTCAGAGATAGTTTATTGAAAAAAATCAATGTTTTTATCCAAGGAATGATGGCATCTGTGTGTTGTCAGTTTTTCATCTGATTTCTTCACTGGCAAAACAATTTGAAAATTCGACTCGGTTCGATGAAGACTGTGTTCAGAATTATTTTTTTCCCGCGTAATTTTTCTGTTTCTATTAAATTTCTTCTGCACTTAATCTGAAATCAAGGCAAGATAAACAATTATTGTGAAGAAATTAGAAAAATCAATAATTTGAAGAGAATGTATTTCTCATTCAGGTTCATTGAAAAACAAATCAGTATTTTGGCCGAATTATTTAGAACATTGGAAAGGAATTATTTATAATCCATATAAAATTTATATAATGTACATACATAGTTTAAGGTCTTCTTCTATGTTCCATGTTCGTTCAGGACGTTGGTGATCATGGCTCTCCACAATTTCCTGTCTTTGCAGTACTCAGTAAATTTGTCTATCTGCTAACTCTCCTAATCCTTGTTCTACCATCAATTTACACAAACTCGCTAGGTATGTTATTCGCTGTTTTCCTATGTCCCTTCAATATGTTCTGTGAGTGTCAAATTTCCCAAGCCCTCTTTTCTCATTATTTGCCTGATGTTAATTCACTGATCAACACAATATTTATTGTCTGGATCTTTTAGCAGGTTTAGAACAATTTTGATATGCTGGATTCAAAAATCACATTGGTTTTGTTCAATCAGATCAACTTTTTGCCTTATTGCCACTTTTTGTGTTTTACCTTTTTGTTTATATTGTCATGTCCATTAAATATCTAAATATGCAACATATTTCACACAATAAAACTAATTATTATGTTAATTATAAAATTACTAATTTTAACCAATCAGAAGTATTTTCAGCCAAAAATTAAAACAAGCCTCCAAAATATTTATAAACCAATAACACGCAATAAAGTGCTTACATCTCAAAACACACCAATTGAATTGTACAATAGAAATTCATAGAATATAAATCAGAAAGGTTGTTTTATTAGTCATTATAATTTAGGTATATTGCACGGACGAAGTAGTAAGAATACCACTGACTTATTTAGGACCAATTAAGAATAAGTAAAATTATATAATTCAAGAGTCAATTTCTCAGGAATAACGGTATAAAATTCACGATGTTTGACCTCAACGATAGAGTCTCACATATTCCATCAAAAGCGTATAAATTCTATCTATTTCATTTATACGCATACACATACTATATCACACATACACACCTAGTGACGACATTTTTATACGTGCAGAGCATTTACTTAAATATTTGTAATTATAAAAAAGAATGTACAAAGATAAAAATGCCTTAAAATAATTTTCGGACTTTCATAATGTGTGATGTCATTTGTTTACATTTGGATACGCTTTGAGCAGATATGAATGTACATGAGAGTCTGTAAGCTTCAAGTATCTTCAAGACTTCTTCCCTAAAATGTGTGCGGTAAAAGTCAAAGCCGGTGTCTTCGTCGGATAAGAAATAATGATTATAGAGCGTAAAGAAATCACCAAGAAGCTCACTAGGACGGAGAAAATTTGCATGGAACAGCTTCGCCGCAATGCTTTGGGGTTTCCTGGGGAATCACAAGGTTGAAAACTGCGTGGAGCTTATTGAAACTTTATTGAAGAACCAAGGTATAATGCGCTGTTGGTTGTCTCTCAAATTTCATATCCTTGAGGCTCATCTTGATAAATTCATGCAGAACATAGGGGCGTACTCAGAGGTGCAAGGCGAGCGCTTCCACCCGGATATACTGGACCTTTAACGCCGCTACCAAGTATCATATAAAGAAAACTGAAGGGAGACTATATTTGGGGGCTGAATTGGGAAAGTAATTTACAGTATAAGCGTAAATCATGCAAAACTACTCACTTCTAAATTTGCCGTAGTCTCCCTTGTGTAATTCTAGAATAAATTGCTACTTTTGAATCATGTGTCGCTTCGTTCCTACTTTTCGAGAAAAAGAATATTTACATTGGCCAGTTTTTCCGGTGGGGATCCTTAAGTTTCAGAAACATTTTCCTGGTCACAAATAAAAGCAAAGTTTGAAGGCAATATTAGCTATTTTCTATACTTCTTAAGCGTAAGCAAATAGGAAGTAACAGTTGCTACCCAAGGACAAAAATCGTGCTGCATCGTGTTATTTATTAAACAACTCATTTTGGAAGAAGACATAAAACATTTATTACTTGAATATAGCAAATAGAATAAAATAAATGAAGATAAAATAAGGCGTACAACAATAATTAGATTACAGTCTCCTATCTATCTATCTATCTATCTATCTATCTATCTATCATCTATTCATTATTATTGTTCATTATCTATTCTCATTATCTATCTATCTATCTATCTATCATATCTATCTATCTATCTATCTATCTCTATCTATCTATCTATCTATCTATCTATCTATCTATCTATCTATCTACACGAGAAAGTAAAAAATTATCCGCACTTTTATTAATACTTCCTAATACTACGAAAGTGCGGATAATCTTTGACATACCTTCGAATCTAACCAAATCTCTTCATTATCTATCTATGGGCAATGTGTAAAATTACGCAGTTACTTAATGGTACGTGCATATTTCCATGAAAGGAATGATGTAATGCTCTAACACTATAGTTCTTAATATAATCGTAAAAGCCGTAGAATAAAGAGAACTCTTTCCCTATTTATCCCGTCATCATACATTTTCTATTTAATTTATTTATTTTACTCAGTTCTATTCTATATTTATCTACATTCTCTTTTATCCTGTAATACTGATGACCGAAATGTTCGTCCGGTTTATTTAACATTATCTATATTTCGAACAACGAATTTGCAGGTTTGTTCCATTTTGTGCCATTAATTTGGCAACTTCTTAGTTCCATCCTCCTAGAACTTTTTATCTTTCTCAGAAAATAACAGTACTATCTGCCATTTGCCGTTTTCCAGGGAAATCAATTTTTTAACTAATGTTCACCTAATACAAGGGTCAAGAGCCACTCAAGATAGATGGTTACTTTGTGGAGTTATATTGGCGTAGGAAAGGACAAACGTTATGATTATAGAGCTGAATTAAACTTTAGAAGGAATCGGAAACCCAATCCTAAACAGGAAACAAGGGTTGAAACTCCAGTCCTGTTCAAAAGACGGAGTAGGACCGTAAACCGGACGATAGGCAAAGCCATCTGCTCCTATTAATGGAGAAGAGAAAAAACGATATAAATAATTAACGAATAAAATTTCAAACTTCAGGCGCAGGCGTGATGAGTAAAGAAATGAAGTAGACTTTAGAAGGAACCGGAAACCTAGTTCTAAAGAGGAAACAAGAGATAAACCTCTACTCCTGTCCAAAAGACTGGGAAGGAGTGTGAACCGGACGATAGGCGAACCTATCCATCCCTATTGATTGAGGAGAGAAAAAAAATCAAAAATAAAATAAATAATTAGTGAATAAAATTTCAGGCACGGCGATTAGCTACGAATATACGCGTTTAGGTAGAGTTATGGAACTGACAGTATAATATTTTTTTTTTAAGCGTTTCACCCCAAGCAAGGCGGGAAGCCACTAGGACGCAAGGAGTTACAGAACATTTAGAGCAAGATCAGATAGGAGTGATAGAAGAAAGGATGAGGAGAAGGGTAGTGGATAGATCAAGGCAACTGGAGATGTCGATTGACATTACATTTGAATAGCTGGAGATTATAGCTCTCAGGGAAACTAGAATAGGGAAGGAAGTTCCACAGGCGAGAGGTGCGAGAAATGAAGCTGTTGGAGTAGAAGAGACGGCGATTTTCGACAGTGAAGGGGTGAGAGCGGGATGCCAGCCACGTCGGGCGCTTGAACTCATCAAGTCTGGGAACCAGCGAATGCAGCTCCTATTACGTTTTAACTAAATATATTCAAATATCCTCTTTCAAATAAAATCGAGCAAAAATTAAAATTATTTGAACTTCTTTTGTAAAAAAAAGACAATGTACAAGAAATATGGTGAGATTGACACAGAAACAAAAATGTCCAAAGTTTGGCAAAGTTGTTTAGGCTAGCAGAAGACAAAATATACATTTACCCATTCAAAATGAATCCACTTCAATAAATAAAATAAAATACAGAAGAGAAGGAAACAATTAAAATCTTTTTTGAGTGGACTTCGTCAAACCTGACCAAGAATTCGGCCAAAAGGAATCAGGTGCTTTGTCTAAATTACACTCCCCCTATCCATTACATTTGTCTCTTTTTCTAACAATCCCCGTTAAAGACCACTTAGTAGGCAAATCTGTAAAAAACAAAATAAATGTTCACCCGAAGGTGCCATTACATGAGATAAAACTACTTAGCCAACAACCTTTCCTGTACATCAAAGAAGTCATTTATCTATTAGTATTATCTTGATAGAATATTACAGTGTAACCCGGATATAAGAGACCCGGATATAAGAGAAACCCGGATATAAGAGAGATTTTCTCTGGTCCCAAATTAGAGCCTGTGTTAATGTATATAAAATAGACCAAACCCGGATATAAGAGAAACCCGGATATAAGAGACTTCTTCTTCGGTCCCGACAACACCCTTATATCCGGGTTACACTGTATATCCATACTGTTAAATAATTACAAACGCTTTTCGTTAATTTCTACATTCATTTGTTTTAATTATTTTTTTTGTTAGGGGGAGATCCCAATAGAGTATAGCCTTCCGATCCCACCTTATACAGATCATCATTTTCTTTGGATAAAAATTCGCCTTAGTGGTGGTTCATGGTATACAATATCGTGTATACTACATTGTGGCAACCTAACAACTCTTCATAAATTTTTTTAAAAAAAATAACTTATTCTCGTCTCTTTTCAGTGGCAAATTTCTCCTGGAAATATGGTTGAGTCTGTCCTCCTGTATAGCAGCGAATACTAGAAAATCTCATCAAAGATAAGGAGTAGACTTAAAGCAACAGAAATGTGGTTCTACAGAAAGATATTGAGTATAACTTAAGCCGAACATGGTTTTGGAGAGAATGGCAACAAAAAAGGAAACTAATACTTAACATCAGGAAGAGACAACTGGAATTTCTGGGGAACATAATAAGGAAGGAGGCTTGGAAAATGTGATACTCACAGGACAGATAGAAGAAAAAAGGGACAGGAAAGCAGCATGTGACATACTTGATTAGGTTTGAGAGAAATAACAAAAAGACAAAACATATTAAGAACTACAGGGGACAGGAAGATGTGGAGGGCCATGATCGTGTACGTTCTAAAGGGACACGCCACATAAAAGAAGAAGGAGGTTGCTTTCCCATTTATATGGAAGCCACACATGGCTGTGACAAACATAACTAAATTAATGCAAATAATTTTCCATGTTTGCTTTGGATATTCTGAATGTATTGGTTTCTTGTGCGTATTTATGACGTTGATTATTCGCAAATAGTTTTACCTGACTATGCAATATCTTCCAGCATGTATTTAGCATGGAACTTTGGCGATCACTTTTTACATAATCGATCATTCAGAGTACCTTCTCCCTAAAATACTATCATTTTTTTTATCTTTCTGAAAAAAAAAAGAAAAGAAAAAAGTATAACATACGGAAAATGTTGCTTATTCTCTTCCATCTTTAAAATTAGAATCATTTAGGAAAATTAAAACAATTTTTGAATTTTTTTTTTACAAATGCCCGTTGATGTGAAAAGAGATTTCTTTGAATGAAGTTAGTCAGCATTAAACGCTCCTGATGCCATATAGCGATAAAAACAAGACGAAGTTTTGACCATGACAATAATTTATTCACTCTTTTTTAAAATGAATAAAGCAAATCACTTCCTGAAAATTATGTGAATATAGATTGAAATTTAACTGCGTTTTTAAAATTGTTAATTAGAATCTGCTTTCTACAGTCAATTTTCTTAAGTTAATTTTATAGTTGTTATTTATTATTATTTCATGGACAAAGTATTTATGCATTCTGTGGTTGCTCGTAGTTTTCTGTTTGTCCAGTAAATGACATTCTAGTTGTTTTCTGAGAAAGATGCTTACTTTATTGTTCATTTTAATACATAAACTTTGAATCAATATTAATACAGAATTCTTATACATTTTAATAGAGATTTTCTGAGTAATTTATTTTTCAAATGATACTTTAGTTCTTAACACTAACTATAAGCTGGAGAGTTACTAGTATTACCATAATTTATTGAAAGGCATCGGGGAAATAATTTTTGGGTTTTTTAAAAATGTTTTTTTGGCTGTTAATTATTGGCTAAAAGCATTACTTGTATTTATTTTGAGTATTTCCACAGACTTATTTGGTTCGCAATTCCTACGAGTTAATATTTCATGAAATGCATAATTCCGCTATCGTATAAATAAATACTTAGGGAATTTTAATTACGTTTGCAAAGCTGCAGAAGACGTCATTTACAAAGAATTCGTTCATTTTTCTTTCTAGCGAAATAATTCAGTATGTAGCCCACACAAAAGAACTGAAATGAAATTCTGAATTTATTTTTAGGAAAAAATAAATTAAAAATCTTTTTCTTGTCTTTTGAGCCTTGACTCAGTAATATATTTTAATTTCTTCGTAAAGCTTTAGAAAAGAATCCAATTCTTGGAAATCGTAATTTCTTTTTAAATTCTAATTAGTTCTTTCTAGTACAATGTTTATTTCGATTTCAGATGTTTAAGAGAAAATCAGAATTTTAAATTTTGCACTAAATCTAACTGCAAAAAAAAAAAAAAAAAATTTGATAATTTCTAAGATGTTATTATAACGCGCATGCGCACACACAGCTTACGGATATATCACGTTGAAACACCGGTTCTTGTACGAAGTTAAGCAACGTCAAACTTTGTCAGTACCTAGATGGATGACCGCTCGGGAAAAGTAGGTACGTTATTTCCCTTTAAGACAACTCCCCAAGTTTCGGTTCACCACTGTTGTGGCCCGGTATTGAACTCACAACACTGGGTTTAGTCACTGGATCTAACCAACGTCTTTATCCTCAAGGACACATGACTGAAATAACTGAGACATCCGGAAGGGGCATAGCACGTGGAACTAGAAAGTCTACCTCGGTGGACGAAATAAAGGGTTCGGTTCAAAGTTTCAATCACCTGAAAAAGGTCGGAGCATACAACGGCCGAAACGTTGTGAACATTGCAATGAGAATGAAGATAACAGTCCGAATATTGTAAATAATGCAAGTAATCATAATATCTCATCTGAGTGATCCAATCACCTGAAGAAGGCCGAAGCGTACAATGGCCGAAACGTTGTGAATATGGCAATGAAGATGAGGATAACAATCCGAATAATGTAAATAATGCAAGCAAAAACATCATTGGTGCTGTTTTATCAGATGTTTTTGTTCAAACAGTATAATCATTTAAATAGAAGATTACAACAGTTCCGGTTCCAGTATCAGTGACTGGTTGAGTGATTTGTTTTTTTACGGCCTATGAACCCCTTACTTTTTGTAGGTTATATAAAGCCAGAAAACACTTTTAGATCGTAAGAATATTTTGGAGATAATACTGATTTACTGATACATATCCTACTAATCAACTCATAGCTGGGTGGCCTTGATGGTTTTTCCCAAGGGTATTTGCGCGTAAGGGAATATAACGAACCCGACTGGAATTGAAACTCAGCTCTCTGATTTCCAGTTCAGAGCCGTTATCCAGTACACCAGTCGAGCATCCAAGCTTGCAGCATCTGGTATTCCCGAGTGATCACCCATCTAGGTACTGACGAGGCTTGACGTTGCTTAACTTTGGTCATCGTAGGAGAACCGGTGTTCCAACGTGATATTTATTAGTATCATTAATAGAAATTTTTATTTTCTTAAAACTTTTCGTTGTAAACGACGTTTTTTTTTTTTAATAATTTCACCCCATGCAAGGCGGTAATAACACTAATACGCAGAGGGTGGGGTGTTACAGGGAGTGAAATTGAAAGAGAAGTGTGAGTATAGAGGGAATTAAGGAAAGGACAATTGATGAACGGGTTTCAGGAAAACAGAAGATGGCGACTGATGTTGCATTTAGATTTTTGAAGATTGAAATTATCAGGGAAGCAAGTAAACGGAGGGGAATTCTACAGGTGGGAAGTGCGAGAAAGGAAAACTGTTGGAGTAGAAGTGGCAGTTGCATTTAGCTATTTGAACTGAGTATTTGAAAATAAAAAAAAAAACCTTAGTAAATTGGAGGCAGCAGGGTTCAGAGTTTTCGTTTGAAAACTCTGAACCCTGCTTTTAAACGAGAAAAGAGGACCAGGAAAATATAACGCTCACAGGACACGCTGAAGGCAAGATGGACGAACGGAGGGAAGCAGAGAATAATCTACTTAATGAACGTATGTAAGTGGCTAGCAGAACAGGGATTAGGAGAGATAGCAGAAAGACAAACACTGCTAAATGATATAAAGGACGGGTGGTTTTGTAAAGCTATGATCACCTACGTCCTGAAGGGACACGGCGCATAGAAGAAGAAGAAGAAGAAGAAGAAGAAGAAGAAGAAGAAGAAGAAGAAGCTTCACTTTTCACATACAGCCATATCTTCAGGTTGGAAAGGTTTGTCTTGATGTATCAGTGTTATATCTCTTACATTTGATTAAATTATCTACAATGTTCACATATACAGAGAACTAACAGAATGCTTCAAAAAATCTTCTATGAGCCATATCTCGTCAGAACATAGGCAATCGTGGCTCTCCAAATTTTTGTTATTCTTGTAGCTCTCAATAAATTTTATTTTTTTTGTTATTTCTCCAAAAATTGGTTCCGTAATCCATTAGCTTAACCTCTCTAAGTTATGTGTTGTTTTCCTCTGTTTTTCTCGCCTTCAATCTGTCCTGTGAGTATCAGATTTTCTCAGCCCTCTTTCCTCATTATGTGCCTTTGAAATTTCAACTATCTCTTCCTTTTCCTTTCTTTTTGTTTTCAATTTTTTTTCTAAAACTTCATTACATGGTATCCTCAGTATCCTCCTGTACAACTACATCTCTTCTGCTTCAAGTCTCCTCTTTATCCGTGAGGATATTGTCCGGTATTCACTGCCATACAGGAGGACTGATATTTACGTAACAGTTCAGTAATCTTTTCTTTATTTCTAAGGAAATTTTACTGTATCTTAGTAATTTTATTTGCTTTTGGAATGCATCTTTGTCTATCCAAATGCGCCTTCAGGTTTCAGTGTCACACTTTCGGTCGTCTTTATAAAAATCTTCCCAGAAATAGAAAAAAAGCGAGATGGCGTTCAGAGAAGAGACGCTATCCACGTTGTTTTGTTTATCCCTATTTTGATTTATAAATGCACAGCATTAAAATAAATGTTAAACCATAATCTGTAAGAAAATAAGAAAAATAAAAGCCTTATTAAATTTTAGACGGTTCAGAATTTTCAAACTCTAGACATGAATGGAGACGCTGTTATTAATATAAATTAAAAAATAGCAAGCCATATTGCTTGGTTTTTTTCTAGCAGTTGTGTGGAAGATTATGAAAATGAAAGGTATCAAAGAAAGTAATTTCCTATTTCAACGTGTACCATAACTTCTTTCAGCATTATAAAACTGATAATTATTTCTTGATACTTGATAGGTGAGGATCGACAGCAGATTTTAAGTTTGAAAAATAAATAAAACTCGCAAGCGTAAATTATTATTACGGTCGCAGAATTGTTATCTTCACCAGAATTGTAGTTGGAGTTTGTCATGATTTTAGCAAAAGAGATGACTGGGATTCTATATATTGAAAATTTCTTCTCCTAAGAATTCGATACGCGTATCCTAGTACACATCATTATTGCATGAAAAGTCCAATAAAATTTCTATCGAATAAGGAAACCTCTTTATAGCAGATGTTGGAAATCTGCTCTATAAAGACTTCTTTTGGTTTTATCAAAGTGAGGGAAGCGTCGAACTGTAACACCAAATTAGTTTGAAAATTTATTGTAGAGTTATTAAGATACAAAGGCTTTTTTGTATGCGGCCAACCAAATATTACTTTATAAACTTTCGCTAAGAAATGACCGCTGATAAACTTCCAGAAATGGGACAAAGGATATTTCGTCGGAGGATAATAGGCATTTCCAAATGTAAGAGATTTATTTATTGCAATTCAAATGAGATAAGGCCTTCAAATCATTGCAGACAACGCTCTTCCATCTTAACTCTTAACATCTTAACCAAAAGAAAGATCAGCTCCCGAAGCCAATTAATACACACTTGCCACACATTTTCTAGCGGCAAACAATATTTTACTTAGAATGAAATCAAAATTTTTTGGTGTGTGCTTGATTAGGGGAGATTTGGATTATGTTTGCCCTAGTCTGACAAATGGACACGATACAAGAAGGCCACGTGAGAAACAAACTCATCAGCGATTAAAAATCGCTGTTGGACAGGAGTGTCAGTCTTCCCACTTTAGGTATCACAGACTATTTACTTATTCTCCTTTACAGTGTGTATATTACCAAAAAAACAAAACAAAACAAAAAACAAAAACTATAATGACCATTTTGGAAATGGATTTTTATCTCTATCTATAAAAGGTAGGATGTGTGTGTGTGTGTGTGTGTGTGTGTGTGTAACGAATGCACGGCTGCAATTTTCGACGGATTTGCACCAACATTTACATGCACATGCTCCAAGTTAGCGGGAAGGCCAAAACAGATATTGCATTTCCCAACTCCCATCGATAGTGGAAAGAATCGGTTTTTCATGCTTCTACGGCAGTTTTCATGTAGTTTGCGGCCAGTTTGTACTGACCAGAGTGAGAGCCTATAGCTGGCTGCCACGAATAGGCAGGAAGATTCTATTGGCCAGCGTGAGAGCCAACATCTGACTGACACGAATGTTAACTTCATGCAAAAAAAATCGATAGCTGCATTCGTCACAAGTGGGAAAAATTTAAATCTGCATGGCACTTTACTCCAATTGGCTCATTCGCTTGCTTAAATTCAACGTTGATTCTGATTCCGCAGAACTGGGTTGGGTGTGAAAAAGTATTTGTTGTTAACATTCTTTTTTCATTTGGTTTTTCCAGTTACGAGTCCTTTTTTAAAGCTGATCGTTTTGTGTTAATTTTGTTTAGTTCTTTTTTTCGTAACAGATTTAATGTTTAGTATAGAGCTTAGAAAAAATTCGCAGTGTGAGATAGGCAAGTAAGGCATGTAGCAACATCAGCACGGCAAAGGGCACTCCTTTAAAGGCAAGGAAGGGCAAAAATATTTTAAGTGAAGTGATAGCGATTGCTGTATGAGTCGTACGATTTTTGAATCAAGCACGGACAACGCCGGGCCATGCTGCTAGTTGTTTGTTATAAATTCACAATATCTAACATAAAGCTAAGTTATTAAAAAAAAAGCAAAAAAGAATGGCGTGCTCCTTAACTGTCAAAGCATATTAATTAAATTACTGAAGAGGGACCATGAGAAGACGTTCGCAAAATGATATACTAATAAATTCTTTATATGCTATAAATTAGTGAGAAGTATTGTAAGATATCCGTTGTTTATTTTGTATTTCGTGTTTATGTATGCAAAAAGTAAACAAAAATAAATATGTATTTTATGATAAAGTTATAGTTTTTACGAAAAGTTTAAAATGGTTAAACAGTAAAATCGATACATTTTCTAAATAACGGAGAAACTTTGTAAGCTGATAAACCAAAAGGCTATAATCATTAAGGTTAGGACGTTTTATAACTTTTGTGATGTCAACGAACATTCGTTGCTCCTTTTGTGATGTCAACGAACACTCGTTGTAGTAGAGACTTTGTAATCGCAGATACAACTATAGTAACGCCGTTGAACAATACTGGTGTCAGACGCCTTCGAATAACACTCGCACTAATAGTACTTGCTCGATAATACTCGCTCGAATAGTAAGCACCGAATAGTTAATCTGAATAGAGGAATAGTATAGAGAATAGCAAACCGTATATTAATAGAGGATAGAATAGAAATACAGATCCAAATAGTAATAGAGGATAGACTAGAAATAGCGATCGTTAGTCATCAGCTACTTCCTGCATATATGCGTTTCCTCAATGGTCACGCGGTCAACTTAATTCAATAATAAGAACGCCCGAGTTTGCTCACTGGCGATATATGTTCAAACTCAAGTGTCGGCAGCGACACTTTATTCCTATATAACAGTAACCCTGTGTACCTGTATCATAAATCGATACACTTTTGTTGAAAAGCAATGAAAAAGTCAATAATTTGTTTCAGTTCTTGAAAAGGGTCTTCCCCAAGGCGAAAATTCGATTTTATCATATATGCAATAAGGGTAGAAAAAGCAAAATATTTTAGAAGTTATATTTTTCAATTTGTTAATGATGTAATTAGATAGTACTTACATGTTTTTAACGCATTTAACAGTTTATAACATTAGCATAATATACAAACTTAAAATAAGCAAAGACATATTCTAGAAGGTTCCATAAAGATCTTGAAGCTCCAGAAAGTCACATTACTACTATATTTGTCTATATTTCTGAGATGAGGTATTATGAACACTATTTACATTATTCAGACTATTGTCCTCATCTTTGTCGCCATATTTATTACAACGTTTCGGCCGTTTGTACGCTCCGTCCTTGTTCAGGTGGTTGGAATGTCAAACTGAACCCTTTATTTCGCTCGCTGGGGTAGACTGTTCTAGTTCCGTGTGCCATGTTTTAATGGATGTCAGTTGTCAGTTATCTCCTGTTAATTCCCCTCTCCAAGTTCTCCAATGCCTTAACCAGCTATGGAACTCACACTCTTTGGGTCATGTCACTGGATCTAACCAATGCCTTTATCCATTGTGCCATGTGTCCTTGTAATAAATATGGCGACAAAGATGAGGACAACAGTCCGAATAATGTAAATAGTGTACTACTATATTTATGTACAATTTTAGAAATATCGTGTTAGGGGTGATATTTATAAAAAAAATAAACTTAATTATACTCTTCCTGATTATTTTCTAACAACATTTTATCGAAGTATGATACAGGAAACCAATTATTTTACAAAATCTCAAAAAGTCATGGTCCTAATTATCATGTGACGAATAACGTGTTAGACCTTAAGGCATAAACTCTACAAGAGCTGTATTGGTTTCTTCTGTTATTTAGTTCCAGGATGTTAACGGAAGGTCCTTTAACTGCTGTAAATGACGCTGTGATAGTTCTGCCGAGTGAACTTGTTGATCTACCATATTCCACAAATGCTCAATTGTATTATCTGGGCAGTTTTGTGACGTAGACAAAACAGTGAAGTCTTCTTCATTTTCCTAATAGCATTCGTCTACAACATGTGCAGTGCGGCAGGGTGTATTTTTCCTGCTGAAAACTGTCATTCCGTCGTAGATGGTTGTTACGATGATGAGGTGTAAATGATATCGACTTATTTTGAAGTATCTAGTAATCGACAAACAGCCTTTTTATATGAATGAAAGGACCCTGAGTTTTCTAACGGAACGTTGCCAAAAACATTATACTGTTTAACCTGTTGCCATTGCTTCTTTAGGATAATAACGCGCTCATATTCTACCGGTCAGCTTACTGAGGCGAAAGCAAAACTCATCGAACCAGACGACTGTTTTCTATTTCAGACAATCACGTGCCCATTACAGGGGCTTTCAGTTTTGGGCATTATTTTGATTCTCTGATGAGAGCACACAGCAAAATTAGACCGGAAATAGGACAAGAACAATACGGTTTCGTTAAAGACACTTTAACAAGGAATACGATATTTACGCTGGGAATGATAGAAAAAGGAATACAAATGCAAAAGGATGTATATGTTTTATAGGTTATACAAAAGCGTTTCCGTCCCGATTAAGACGATAAACTACATCCACGTCCTGGGTAAGACGATCAACTACATCCGCGTCCTGGGTAAGACGATCAACTACATTCGACAGCAAGGCTTTTGATCAGGAGTTTTTGAGGAGCCTGGAACCACCTCTCAATTGCTGGTGTTCTCAGGGCTACCCTCGCTCGGGGTGGTAGCGCCTGTTAGGGTCCCAGCTGTGGAAAGATAGTTACCCCCCACCACCAAAAGGGACCAAAACCCAATGAAAGTATAAAAATAAGTTTTAATACCAGCTATATTTTGGGGGAAAATTATTACCTAACAATACATGTATGGAAAAATATTACCAACAATATATTTTTGGAAAAATATTACCAGCAATAAAAATCTAACCAATTGAGGTGGTGATATGCCGTAAAACAAAAAAATAATCAAACAAAAATGACATATTTGTGAAAATATTTTAGAATCCTCCAGAATCTATACTGGGAGAAAACCTTCTGCATACGGATAGAAAATGAATTGAAAGTGATGTAAGACAACGTGATGCCTTATAATCGGGTTTATTCAGCCTATAAAGTGAGACGATTCTGATAGAATTAGAAGTCCTACCAGGATATATTATTGGTGGCCACAATCTTAATAGCATAAGATATGTAGATGCCTCAGTGTTGATCGTAGACACGAGAGATAACAAAAAGACAATTTATTAAGAGCTACAAAAGACAGGAAATTGTAGAGAGTCATGAACATCAACGTCCTGAAGAAGACGCTGATTAGCCTGCGACTACGGAGCCCTACATACGACACATATCGATCTTTTGTGTGTTATGATAAATTCCTCTCTTTAAATTGATCAAAAACACCTACAATTTTTTCCACTGTAGCCTTTTAGCTAATCGTACTTGGTAGGAAAGCCTCCGTTCATTAGTATTGGCCACACAATGTCGATGTCTAGTCGGTCAATAGGTACTCACCACAGCTGAAGGTGAGCCCACCATAAACCGTACCGTTTGGCAAAGATTCTAAATCATAACAATTTAACCTTTATCAAAGTCATTCATATCTTAATTCTTGCATATAACTGAAGTATTCATTACATAAAAAAAGTACTCGAGACGTGTTTATATAATTCTGACTCATCTACTTTTCAAATCTCTCTACAACGTTAATTTTCGGATTTACCATCGACTGTCTCGTCACGTTAATCTCATCCAGGACAATTCAACGATGATTTTAGCTTTAGGAAATGTCCGAGGTTGCAAAGAGTCACATCCCGACGTTAGGTGGGAGGTAGGACAGACTTGAGTGATATATTGTTTGCCAAAGTCTATAAGCGAGACGTGAAGAGGCTATTCGTTCTGTGATTGTGAATGTGATGGTCAAACAGTACATAAACTCACTAACAGCTGAACAAACCTATGATAGAATCTTCCCCCAAGTGTTTATAAGATTCTCTCTGATTGGTTGTTCATATATGTATGTATCTGTTCATATATATCTATCTATCTATATATATATATAATCACCGAAGTTAAGCAACGTCGAACCTGGTGGGTGACTGCTTGGAAATACCAAGTGCTGCAAGCCTGGATGTGCGGTTGGTGTAATGGATAATGGCTCTGAATTGGTAATCGTAAGGTTGAGTTCCGATTTTAGTTAGGTTCGTTATATTCACTTACACACAAATACCCTTGGGAAAGGTATGAATCCACCTCTTCTCTCCCCAGCTATGGGTTAATTAGTAAGACACGTATCACTGAAACCATTATTAACATTGAAAAATTGAATAAATAAATAAAATTGCGTACAAAATATATAAATTTCGGATTGGTTAATTAGTAAGGATTGTATCACTAAAACATTATCTCCAAGAAAAATTAGATATCAACTAACTTCGTTGTAACATCTTAAACTGATCGAGGATGTATGAAATGCCATTTTCACTAAAAAAAAAAAAAAGTTGCCGACTACATGATGATTGTGAGAAAACTTTTTACGTGTGATCAATCGAAAGTTTTTAGAAAAATTATATATATATATATATATATATATATATATATATATATATATATATATATATATATTAAGACATTCTTTATGTTTATACGTTCTTTTCATAGATACAAATATTTAAGTAAATGCTTTGTTTATAATAATAAACAGTATTAACAACATTTATAGGTCTGAATGTCCGAGAAATTTTCATAGAAAATATGTGTCCTCCAACAGAACGTATAAATATAAAAAATGTCTTTGTCCATTATATCTATCTATCTATCTATCTATCTATCTATCTATCTATCTATCTATATGATAAAAATATAGTTTTAAGGCATGCTATATTTATGGGTTAAAGTGGTGAATATCAGTGATAAAGCGTATTCAAATATAAAAGTGAACATTGAGATCAACACCCGACGGAGCAGAAGTTCGTATAATATTTTATGTGAATTTCAAATAAAATATTTAAATACTTTTACATAGATTTATTCAGCTACATTTGTGGCATTTTGTTTCCTTCCCTTTAGTCATCATGATTTTATCCGCTTTGAATTTGGCATCTTCCTGTGCGATGAACCGGTGGAAATGGTTTCCCGACTTATCCAGAGAATTGAAATTCTTCCCATTATGGGAATTTTGTAAGGAACAAAATTAGCGGTAATCCGAAGGTGCAAGATCAGGTGGGTACGGCGAGTTTAGTAGGACACTTCAACCAAGCTGTACCAATTACTGCCGGGTTTGCAAAGACAGGTCTGGCGTTGTCTTGATTAAAAATGGCACTTGGCAGATTGGCTAATTCCTGACATTTTCATCGATTGCTGCCTTTACTCGTTACGGTTGGGAAGTCGTCTTCCATGTTCCGTATTCCTTCAGGCGATCATGGATCTCCACAACTTCCTATCTCGCCTGGTCCTTAACAATTTTTTCCCTTTGCTATGGCTCCCGCCTCCAGTTCCGCCATCCATTCACACACGCTCGTCAGGTAAGTAGCTCGCTGCTTTACGCTCTCTCTCTCTCTCTCTCTCTTGTCCTTATTATACGCCCATGAAGGTTAAGTTTTCCAAAGCCCTCTTACCTCAGTATCTGTCTATATTTCTGAGATGAGGTATTATGTACATTATTTACATTATTCGGACTATTGTCCTCATCTTTGTCGCCATATTTATTACAACGTTTCGGCCGTTGTACGCACCGGCCTTCTTCGGGGGGGGTGTTGGAATGTCGAACTGAACCTTTTATTTCGCTCACTGGGGTAGAAATTCATATACAGATATACTCAAGGACACATGGCGCAGTGGATAAAGGCGTTGGTTAGATCCAGTGACAGGACCCAAAGAGTGTGAGTTCAATACCCGGTTAAGGCAGTGGAGAACTTTCAGAGGGAAATTAACAAGTGATAACTGATAATTGACATCCATTAAACACGGCACGTGGAACTAGAACAGTCTACCCCAGTGAGCGAAATAAAGGGTTAAGTTCGACATTTCAACCACCGGAGCATACAACGGCCGAAACGTTGTAATGAATATGGCGAATAAATATGGTTGTCTTGAATGGCAACTCTTCTAGATCCTTTTTTTGCATTCATCATCATCATCATCATCATCATCATCATCATCTTTCGATTTCTCTATGATTGGTCAAAACTCCATTGACAATCATTTTCCACACTGCTCGCTCCTATATAGCTGTCCCCAGATCCCCAATGTCCAACCTTGGGGATCTGGCGTCACCAATACATCTACCTATCTTTGGGTTCATATTTCAGGGATCTATCCTTGGACTCACGTTGTTCCTAATTTTCATCACCGACCTTCCTGATTGCCTCAGTTCTCTATTCGATATCTATGTTGATGATACAGCCACATATTTCTGTCTTAATAATAAACCTGATCAGTTAATAAGGTCAAATTGGTAGCTGATCTAAAAAATGTTCTACTCCCTGTTGTTAAATGGGGCAAGGAATGGCTTATTAATTTTAAAGCCTGCAAAACGAAACTACTCTTTTTTATTGGACTTAGATAACCCTTTTTATCTTCCATTCACATGGCTGATGCTAACCTCCAGGACGGTGATTTATTGCGTTTTCTCGGACTAACGTTTTTCGTTGACATGAAATGGAAAGATTATATATGGAATCAAATGCTAGGTCTGTCGCCAGGAAAGTTCGTTTACTGTGTTGTGCTAGACAGTTCTTCTCTCCAGCATCTATCTGATGTATTTATAAGTCTACCATTCGTCTATGATTAGAATATTGCTGCCACATATGGTCTGGTGCTCTGGCTATATATTCAGAGATTCTTGATAACACCCGAAGAATAATTTGCAATATTATAGGTCTTGACCTGGCATCTCGCCTTCAGTCACTTTCCCGGCGACTTAATGTAGTTTTCCTGTGCCCTTTCTTATAAATAATTTCATGGTAATTGTTCTGACGTAATTTCCGCTATGGTAGGTAGACATTATGAATTTAAGCGCAGAACTAGATTGGTCGTAAATTCTCATCATTTTACAGTTGAATTGGCTAGATGTAACCGCAAGTTCTATGCTAACAGTTTGTTCTATCTCACTTATCGCTTCTGTGAGTCTCTTTCGGCTTCTTGCTTCGCAGTCAACTTTGATTTTCAAAAATTTAAATGAAATGTCAATTGTTTCCGCCTGTCTTAATCTTTGTTCTTTTATTGTTCTCTCTCCTTAATAGTGTTTTCTTTTTCTCATATTCTCTAACAGTCAGTAACCCCTTAAATTTTAGTGGCTTTATTACTTCTCTTGGGGTGAAATGATAAAAAATCCGAGAAAAAATATGAATCCGGTTAGTCTTTTTAGTGGCCAGTTAGTCATTTTGGCTTTAATCGTGAATAAATGATGTCTGTATCATTGGAAAATATTTATCTCATCAATTGATGATATTCGCTGATCTGGAATGAAACACTAATTGATGTTTTCCGCTGTTTAAGAGTTAAATTTTTGAGAATCCATCATTGAATCCTTTTTTATAAACAGTGTATGAAAAGAGTGGTGTGAATGTCTTGATTTGCGTATTTGTCACTCAAGCAAATGATAATGAATTGATTTATAAATATTATACTAAAGTTAATTTGGTTCCAAACAGCTCCGAGTCTCAAGTCATATTTCTCCCCTTGTGGTCTGTGGTTGACCTCAATTTCGGTTCGTTAGAATAACCTGCTCGAATGTAACGTACATCTCGCCAATAGAATACGTTACAACGTACCTTTCATGGCGGGTCTTAGCTGTTAGAACTGGTGGGACGAAGGAATGTAGTTCACCTGAAAACTTTCCATGCAAATAGTGATAAAGCAGCGAGAGACTTGAGACGTTTCGTCTGTGGGAAAGGGTTGTAAGGTAGAAAATAATACGTCACCCACAAGAATTCGGAGACACTTTTGGACACTATTGAGTGAAGGCTGGACATCTCCTGTCCATATATGGCAACAGTACTACATTTTTCGCCTGATCTGGATCTTGTAAAGGTAGAGGGTAACAGGAGGAGTTAGGTACTTCCTAGCACGGTACAGAGAACCGACCATTTTTTCGGGATCCTTAGCGATGGATTGTATGTACGTGTTCCCTATGAGGCTTGGTTTGAACTTAAGTCTCAACAGGTGCTCAAGGCACGGCACTTCACTGAGAGTTAAAATTCAGTGTCCGCACGGTTATGATGGAATCTCACAAATTATCTATATTATTGAAATTCCTCCTCCGGTTCAAATTATTCTCATGAAATTTAAAATTCCATCTTTGCAAGCTAAGGTGAAAATATAGTAAATATAAATAGAACGGGTTTTATGCTTTTTATTTTTCATTTGTACTGTTTGGTTACTGTGTGTTTCCTTAAAATCCAAATTGCATAGTTATACGAGATTTGCTCAAACTATTTTGAGATTTTCTGAGATTTTTTATTCTTAATAACTCTTTATATTCAATGCCTCACGTTTGTCAAGCAATTTCGTTAAATCAAGGGCTCTATATTTATGTCGGAAGATCAGATTGTCTTTTTATTTTATGTATTTCTCATTTTTTTAAATCGGTTTCACCCCATGCAAGGCAGTAAATCCACTAAGATACAAGGGGTTACTGGGTGTGGAAGAATTAGGAACAGAAACATTAATAATAAGCGGGAAGAGAAAAAGAATAATCAGGAGATTATAGTTGTCTGCAAAACATGGAGACGGATAAAAGTTCCGCGGGTGAGACTTGTAAGAAAATAAACTGTTAGCATGGAACTTACGACTACATCTCTTGGCCAGCTCAACTGTAAATTGATGAGATCTCGACGCCAATTGAAAAGGTCTCGGTACCATAGCGAAGAGATCATCCTTAAAATTACCATGAAAGTATTTATAGAAAATATACAGAGTGGCAACCTTACGGCTGTGGTAAAGTAACTGAAGCCGAGTCGCCATATTATGACCTATAATATTACTGATTCTTCTTTGTATTTTATCAAGGAGCTCAAGGCAAGTAGCAGGGGCACTAAACCATATGTGACAACAAAATTCTAAGCATGGACAAATGGTAGACTTATAGATATTTAAGATAAATTCTGGAGAGAAAAGTTGTCTCGCAGGACACAGTGAACCAAGATTTTAGCAGCTGATCTAGCAATGGATTCAATATAGTTTTTCCTCTTCATGTCAGCTGAGAACGTTAGCCCGAGAAGTTGCAGCAAGTCACTTTCCTGGAGCTTAGCATCAACCATGCTGATGGGAGGCAGAGAGGACTCTCTCAGCTGATTAATGGAGAGAAGTTTAAATTAAGTGGCTCTAAAATTAACAAGCCATCTTTTGCCCTATTTAACAATGGACATTGGCTGCCATTATGACCTTGTCGGACTGATAAGCCTTACTATTTAGGCTGGAGTACATGGTTGCGTCATCAGCGTAGATAACAAGTTGATAGCTGATGTCAACAGGGAGGTCATGAAAGAAAATTACAAACAGAGTAGGACTAAGAATTGGAGCGCAGGGGTGACACCCTCGCAAGTACGAAAGGTTCGAGACAAGTGGATGTTCAGTATAATTTGTCTATGATCATTGCGCTAAAAGACAGGACTATGTTAAAAATGAATGAACATGAAAAGAGGTATAAAGACGCGACCATATTATTAGCATTTGCGGTTGTGTGTAGAATTTAAATTTTATTTTATTATGTATAGTACTATGTCTAGGTAATATTCTAATAGATCAGCCGATATGAATCAGCCTGACATCGGCACATCATTTTCAGATTGATTTGTATAATATTCAGAAGAGAGAAAATTCAATGATTCGATCTCAAGCAATGTGTACCTAA